TCTTCTCTCGTCTAGCCAGTGGCTGGGAGTAACCCCCAGGCGAAGAGGAGAGCCACTGTTTAAGCCGCTATCTTTTGTCCTGAGGGTTTGGGGGTATGTTGATATTTGTCGGTTACTATGACTTCTTTTTTTTCCCCCCTCAATTGCATCAAACCCTTAAAACATGGTGGTAAGTGAGCGATATGCATGCTTTTGGAGTTTGTTTAATCTCCGCTTCAGTCTATACGATGCACAGTTCATATGTTAACACTTTTCTTCAAGTTTACTTCATTCACTTTCACGACTAATTTGGATTTCAGTTTGCTGTTTAATCCTCATTTACTTTTTAATTTTCGTACCTTTTTTTCTGTAGTTCTGTTCTTTCCCTCTCTCCTGATTTCCTTGTTAGGGTCAGGTTGTATATTTTTGTCTGACCTGTAAAGGGAGAGTGGTGCCGCAGATTGTGACTCAGTCCAGGACAGTAGGAGACACGAGGCTCTTCTCTTGGTTCCTTGGATTTGGGGAGAGAGCTGAAGTGACTTTAGACACTAGTGTGACCAGCACCTGCTCCCACTTGCAGGCATGGCAGCTGCACCAGAGCCACTGTTGCTAAAACCCCTACATGCAGCCCTTTGCACGTTACCGGCTTGTTGGGCTGGAAAGTGACGTCACTGGGCAGACAGCAGGGCCTGTCCCCCCCCGCCACCAAAAGGAAGAAAAGCTTGCGTGTGTAAAGTGTTTGGGTCGGTTGGGACCGCGTGATGCTTTGAGAAGATTAGCTTGGCTCTCGCGACTCCCCCCTCCTGCTTTTGCCTTTCCTGTTGGGAGTAGGTTGGTGATCTTCTTGTCCATTACCTTGCTTTAGAATTTTGTTTCCCGGTGCACAGCCAGAGCACTGAAACTCTGCGGAGTCTGCTCCTGGATCTTTATCTTTAAGTCCCCGAAGTGCTTAGTTCCTAGCATGTAGCTGAGCTGGCTTGGCCTGGATGCTGAGGGCCTCGGGCGTTGTGGTGAGGACAGAGTGAAGCAGGGCTTGTGTGTGTCGGTCTTGGTGTGTCTGTACGATCCCCACTGCATTCACAGCACACAGATGTCTCGGGTGTCCTTGAGTCTTGGTTTGTTCTCTGTACCTGTTTGATAGTGTACTGTTGTTAGTAGCAGAATCCTGTGGACACTGGTGTGTCGCTAGCCTATTGTTTTGGCTGATAAGTCATTGGTTTGTGGTTAGTTTTTTTTGTTTTTTTGTTTTTTGTTTTTAATCTTTTTTTGCTCCAGTCACTGTGTGTGCTGGCGGTGGCTTTGCCTCTCCGTTGCCTCGAAGGAACAGGTGGAGCAATGTCTCCCTGTGACAGACATTACTCCTGACGTGTGCTCCTGCAGATGCCTACACTGAGACTGTGACCTCCATAACTGCTTCATGTGCACCAAGCCCCCTTGTGGAATCCTGCTGAGAGGTTTTCTAGAAGCCTTCAGTGAAACCAAACTGTTCTGAATCATTTAGTCTACCTGACTTTCGTAAAATAGAAACTAAGAGCACTTACTTGTTCCCTCCCCTTTGTGGGCCTCTTTAAAAAAACATTCCATGTACATATAGACCTGCCCAAAGGGAACCAAATTGCCCTTAGTCAAAACAGGAAAGAAAAACCTACAAATCAGAATTGTGAAATACCAATTTAAGAAGGCTTCTAAGCTCAGATAATGTCAGCTTTTTGGTTTAAAAAAAAAAAAAATCTCATGGCTCATCTGGATTGGGGTTCTGGTTTTGGCCAGGGCTCAAGAGTTGAGCCCGTCTTTCTGTCTGAAGTCTTTTCTAGAGGGATGTCCCCACTATCCAGCTTTCCCTGGTGTGTCACAGAACATTTTCTGGTTTGCATACACTTGCTGCTGGCATGGCCCAGCCGGGCTGACCCAGTATTAGGTTGACTATTATGGCTTTCTCTTCCTCAATCTCCTTTTCCAGACCAAAGAAGTCTCCTAAAGATTACAAAACAGCAAGGACAGTGTCCTTTGGGGAAGTAAGGATGTGTGGCTAAATGTATAGAACATACACATCCATCTACATTGCAGGACTGAGCCAAAACTGTGCATGCATTCACCACAAGAAAACAAACAGCAGGATTTTACAACTGAAATGTTGGTTTGTCTTCTCATCTATTTAAGAGTGAACCACTGGAACTTGGGGACAAGATGAATATACTGATATTGCAGCCTATCTGTCCGCTACAGTTGCAGTTTTTCATGACAAGCATTCAAAGTGTTAACTAAAACCATTGAAACAACATACCTGCCATTAAAAACTTGAATCTAGAAGTAATAACTCCATGAGTGTTTTGCACCTCCAGATGGAATGGCCTTGAATAAATGCTATGAATAGCTATGTTTGCCACTTGCCATTTGCTGTTCTAGTAGTTCTTATGTAGAGTCTCACAATTTTCTCCTTTCTTCTCCTGTCTCTCAATGGATTATTAAAAAACTGAACACCTTGTAGACGATGAACCAGCTGGGCCAATGTAAGTACTTTATTGGACATTGATTCAGTAGTTTTGTATTTGCAGTTAAATTGAATGTGTAGTAAAGGTTTTGTGGGGAGCCCGTGAGTGGAAATGAGTGTCATAGTGTAGACCTCCCTAGCCACACGGCTGGGGAGCTGATGGACAGCCATTTGATTCCCAGGACAGGCGGTGCGGTTTTGTTTTTCTAACAACATGAAGTGGAATGCCATGCAAGAAATTGTTGAAAAATTTGCACATCCTGTATGCTTAAGTTGATAACGTGGGGAAAATAACTGATATATCAGAGACATCCAGTTTTATTAAAGTTAATTTCAAGCTGGACGATAGCACGAATAGGCCACCAGGCTCCGCTGACAGTGGCATCCAAGGGAGACAGTACGGCAAATTTTGAATCCGTCCAAGATAAGCAAAATCTCCCAGAGGTGGGACCTAAGGAGAGAGAGGCAGGCACATGGTGCGCAGATTGGCAGAGTGCCGGAGGGCACAGCCCTGTCCGTACGAGATCATCTTTTATCATTTGAGGAGAGACTGTGGTGTTCAGTAGAGAAGAATCTACTGTTGTTACCTTTCTAGTAATTACAGTCTGTGAATCAAAGGGAAAGCACCCGGATCCCGTCTGCCTTGGGAGTCAAAAGGATTAACTGAAGCTGTAGAAGCACTTTAGAGAGTATGTTTCTGCATGATACGTGCAGTAAAAGTTCTTACTACACCAGGGATGGTAGTGAAAGGATCCCTGTATTTCCATGTGTTTTAATTTCAAGAGTTGCTACTGACTTTAACTTGTATAATGCAATTTTTCCTCCAAAGGAAAACCAACTCTACCAACAATCACAAAGATAAAAACTTGCGCCAGAGAAACACAAATTAAATACTGCTTATAATGTAAGTATGGCCTTCTCCTTTAAATTTTTTAAAAATTACATTCAAATGAATGTGCCTCTGTTGACCTTTATTTAGATTCTTCAGTAGTTGGCGTCATGTTGTGGGATTTGTAGCTCATTTCAGAGCAGCCGATACTGATGGAGCAGGTTCTCTCTCTGCCCTCCATCCAGTACAGCAGCTGGAAAGGAACGTTTCAGCTGTGTTGTTCCACACATTTCTGTAAATGCCATTTCAGAATATGTATGGTGTTTTGAAAAGAAAGACTTTGCACCCTTTAACTGTATCTTTAAAAAGAGGTAAAGAATGTCAACTTAGGTGGATTGTTCCCAGAGGCCAGCGGGTCCCACACGGCTTGTGAGGGCAAGGCAAAAGAGGTGGCCACGCACAGCTGGGCCGGACTACTGTCCACGTTGGCACATGGAGATGGCAGTTTCACACCACATCCCTGAGCATGCTGTTTGAACCGAAGCCTTGTTTTATGTGGGTGGCACCTGGTGTGGTCTTAAGTGACGGTACAGATTCCCTTTTAATTTCCAAGTACTTTTTCTTTACAGATCATTAGGTTCCTGAAACTGGTGGCAACATGACCTGCTAAATTTTCTGCTTGGACCTCTTTGGTTCTCTCCCCTTTCAAGTGAGCAACACCACAATGACTGTCTAAAGCATGCCTTATTTAGCCTTTCCTGTAAGGGTGACCTAGTCAGGTACATTTTAAACAAACAATGCTTCAGTGTAGAAGGTGTAAACTATTTTGGGCTTGATGTGCTGTGAATGTTGCTTTTTTTCCCCCCTTTGTTAAAATATTTAAGTAGAAGTGAAAAGGTCCTCTGAGGATCGGATTGTGCATGCGCCATTTTTTACTTAATGCAGCTGTTAAATTGGCAAAGCTCTAAATTGCACTGCTGCCATCTAGTGATAACATTTTTGTAAAGTACAGCAAAACCTACAGATATATACAGTATATAAATATATATATATATATTTATATTTTTGGGGGTGGGAGAAATCCAAAATAAAATAAATGCTTGTTTCATTTTTTTAGCTGCTGATATTCATTCCTTATTGTATGTTGTCAGATGAGGAAAATTGTGCAGTTCTGGTACATAAAGATGAGTAATATAAACTGAAATCTATAGTTTTAAGGGCTTAACCTACGACTTTGGAAGAAGCTGGAACACTCCACTGAATGGATATATTGAATTGCAGTATACATGTATGATTGCTTTTTAAGTGATTCTTTTCTTTTGTTAAATCATGTAAATTCTTAAATCCTTTTGCACTGATGTGTTGAACCTTATTGTACATTCAATTAAGGCAAACTTTTATAATTTTCCTTTTGTTTTCAATGACCTTGAAATGTTACAGCATGGTATTCTATGCAACTAGTTCTCCTCCGGGGTTGACACTGTATTTTTTTCACATTGATTTAACGGTTGAGTGTAGGTTTCTTGCCCGGCAGGGTTCTCATACGGTGTGTAACCATAGATGCATGTACTTGTGTTTTGTGTAAGTGTTGAAGTGCAATGATGTATAAAAAAGTGGACTCACCTGTTTTTAAAAATAAAACATTGATAAAAGGTGTTTGGAATAACACTCTTTATTCTCATATCGTAGGAGGAAGCACTTTTCCAGTGCTTTCAAATTCCTTAGTTCTGTATGTACATGGAGTGTTAATTTCTCAATCCTGTGAGCTTTTTGAGTTCCTTTTCCACCTCTTCCACAAATGCGGGGAAATTCTGATCCATGAGGCACAAGCGTAGAAAGGGGCCTAACTCTTCGGCGTCCCACGTAGATTGTTCATAGACCGGGGGCAGCTCCTCGGACACCAGGAGAGACTATGGGGATTTCACAAGAGTAGTTTTATTAGAGATTATGGCCAAAAGCAACAGCCTGAATAGAACACAGGAAAACTCTGCTTTATGGAAATATTAGAGGAACATAGGCCAAAAATTAGTGTTTTATAGGGTTCCTTTATATAATGTTTCTAACTATACCCAGCAAGGGAGATCAGTTTGCGTCCATTAAGTATTTCAAATGCATTAATGAAATGATGTACAAAGTTAAGATCCCGCTGTAACCAAGAGTAAGTACTGTGCTAACATTTTGTGGCTGGATAAAGTCAGTGAACGCACTAGCTTGGTTCATCCTTCCCACCTCACAGATGCGTGGATGTGAGCAGTTCACCACGTGGAGAGTGGGTTCTGAAGGTAATAGGGGTCACAAACTGAGCATCCGAAGGAAAGAATTAGCTCACTCGTGTGTCTTTCTAGTCTAGTTCATGAAGTCTGACAGGGAGAGGCATGTTACGGTCACAATCAAGACACGGCTCCACATACTCCCCCCGCCCCCAACCCCGGACTATTTCTTCACGCTACCACCTCCACTCCTGGTGTCGAACACGTAACCTTTTGCAACCACTCCTTTTGCAACCACTCATCTGTTCTCCATACCTCATAGCTTTGCCTCTTCCAGAACGTCATAAATGAGGTCATTTAACATTGAGCAGTGTTTCACTTGCTTAATTGCCATGCGTATGTATAACACTGGTAACTTCCAGTGTTTTAAAACCACTTGAATAAGTTGCCAATATTTAGATATTAGAGTTCAAATCAAAGTCTGTGTGCTTGGCAATCTGGGAGATGTGGCGACACCGGATCCACGTCTCGTATGATACAGGGGGCTCCCGCTCTGCTGTGTCCCCTCTGCTGCCCGGACTCCTCACACTTGTTCTCCTAGGCAGGGGGTCTGTGGATGGCGTGGTTTGGTGTGTACGCACACGGTGGAGATTTCTCTAAGAACTATCCGCAACAGACATTTCCTCGTCTAAATTCAAACCGGCTTCTCTGACTTAAGATAGAAGAGCATGAAAGTAACACGGGGCCCCATGTAAGTTCTCCATCGAGGGCCACTGTTAATAGGTCAGTGTATCTCCTTCCAACTTATTTTGTGTGTTTGTATTTATGACAAAAATCATCCATGCTGCTTTGTAATAAGCCTTTTTAAAAACTTAATGTGTTGTGAATATTTTTCCATGTTAATAGATGGGGATATCACTTTATGGACTGCATTTTTATCTCACGTAAGTGCGGGTATACCACACACTTAAAACCACTTAGTATCCTATAAGTGAACATTTATGGTGTTTCCAATCTTGTTCCTACAATCAACATTGTGAAGAACATCCTTCCCTATGTGCATGTTTGTGTAGTTGAGATGGAATTCTAGATAATAAGACATAACATTAAATTTTACCCATATTGCTAAATTGGTTTCCAAAAAGTTTTACCTTCTGACATTTCTGGAATGATTTTTCCAGAAGTTTAGAGCAACAAGTAGCATCTCTGAGCTGCCAGCTTGGTGCTTTTTCTTGTTTGTACGTGGTTCCATACTATGTAAATAAACTAGGCTAAGATACACCTTTTATAGCAACTGACATTTCCTGAATAAGGACATCGCACCCTGCCTTGTTTCCATGTCTTTGTGGCTCTCGTCTCCTCAGCCGCTCATTCGCGCAACCTCTAACCACAATGCGAACATGAGGCTACACAGAGGGGCACTGTGGAGTCTGTCCTGCTGCTGGACAGAGGCCTTGAGGTGGTGGTGTTTGTGGTGGCTGCGGAGTTAGTAAAAGAAACAGATGTGAAAAAAAAAAAAAACCAGATGTGAATTCTTACTCAGTCTTCTTACCTCTTAAGTTTTTACCTCTGGGACTGTTTACTTTGAGTTAGTGGGAAGCCAGATGGAGAAAACACCCGTGTTTTCCGTCTTACACCACTGTTAGCACCACTTAGTGAATACATTAAAACAAAAATTCAGAGGTGTCATGTAGCTCAGTGAGTTAAGCATCTGACTCGGGGTTTCAGCTCAGGTCATGAGGTAAAGCCCAATGTCAGGCTCCTGCATCCAGCATCAGGTCTGCTTGAGATCCTCCCTCTCCTTCCCTCCGCCCCCTGCTCGCGCATGTGCTCTCCCTCCAATAAAATTCATTCTTGAATATTGATGATTTCCAGGCACAACTGTCTGCAAAGCATACGCTGTTGGCCTAAGAGTGCAGTGAGGAGACAGGCCTCAAGTGGCCTCAAGTGGCTCCCAGCAGCGCAGCATCAGGTAACCCCGAATCGGAATGAATAGGTTCTGTGGGATTCCTTGGTAACAGTAGACTGCAAGGTGAGGGCAAGGTCCGAACACAAGCCTGCGCTGCCAAGGCTGAGTCCTGGGTTTCCACACACCCTTGGCGGAGACCTTGTTAGCACTGGAAGCTTGTCCCTACAGAAACCATCGTTGACCCAATTCCAAACTCCTGTCTGAGACTAGTTCTCAAACTTCCTGTCCAAAGTTAAGTGGAAGTTCTTCCCTCTATTCCTCTTTCTGGGGAAGTGGTCATTGATCCCGACCTGACACCGCCCCCGTCCTCCAGAGGCAGCCCCTCACTGGGCACCTCGGGCACCGGCACTTCGCGCTACTGCTCCGCAGGGAGGTGAACACGGAGGCAGACTCCTCAAGATCACGGTGCTTATGACCAAAGAAGAAAACGAAAACAGGCACTACCTGAGCTAACCAACTCACGGGGGCCCTTCCTCCTGAAGCGCTCCTGCTGGCTGGTCCACGCGGCCCCGGCTTCTCTGGATTCTGTGGTACCTGCAGTTAGGGGACGAGTCGAACGGATCAACCACCACCGGCCATCCCGTCGCAGTAGCAGCACGTGTGCTCAGGTGAAAAAAGAGAGTGTTAGCAACGGGCACGAAGGCTCGGAGCGCGTCCTGGGTCCAACGGGGCGGGGGCAGGGGCTGGAGGCTGGGTCGCCGGGCTCCTCCGTGCCCACCCGCTCTCCTCGCCCGCCGGCCGCCGCCCATGTCTGCTCATGATCTGTCCCTTCCTGAGAGTTCTGACTCCCGGACACGTGGTCACTGCAGGAAAACAAAGCGATGGTGGGGCGGGGGGGTGGCTATCATTTCAAGACAACCATATGCTTTTAATAAAACTTAAGTCTCATTTTAGACATTTTGAGGGAATGAGTTCTGTTAATACCAAGATCTCTTCATTCAATAACGTTTGTGCCTACTGTATACGCACACTGGACACAGGTGAGCAAGCGAAGGGGCCACGGAGAATCAAACTATTAAACAGTGATTATAACGGAACCTCAGGGGTGCTGGAATGGAGGCTGGTATAAGACTTCAGGCTCACCGTGCAGGGGCCGAGCCCAGGGGGGGCCCTATGCTAGGTGGGAAGTGCAGGGATGTTCCAGAATCTGTGCCACTTCAAAAGAATCTACAGGGCAGCCCCGGTGGCGCAGTGGTTTAGCGCCGCCTGCAGCCCGGGGTGTGATCCTGGGGACCCGGGATCGAGTCCTGCATCAGGCTTCCTGCGTGGGGCCCGCTTCTCTCTCTCTGCCTGTGTCTCTGCCTCTCTCTCGCTCTCTCTGAATAAATAAATCTTAAAAAAAAAAAAAAGAATCTACAATGTGATGAGGCAGTTTTATTGGGTAGGACATGGGATATTTTCTAGGCAAATAAAATCCTCCCAGTGTAGGAGGAGGTCTGGAGGCCTGAAAGGCCCAGAAGGTTGCTTCCACTTAACAGCATGATCCCCAAAGCCCCACCCCTTCCTTCCTAGCCACGTCCACAGGTCCGCCCAGGTCTCAGACACCTGTGGCTGCCACACACAGGTGTGCCCACCCCAGGTGTGACCTGTTGGGATCATGTTGGGGAGAGACCAAGGCCCTCCCTGGAAGGTGCCCCCATCAGCAGCGTGTTCTAGCTGCCAGAAGTCAGAGGGGGCCAAATTTTGTTGCATCCTGTGTGGAAGCTGTCACTAGTCAGTAGGTATTTAGAGAAAAGTATACCTGGAAGCATCAAAAAACGAGAGGCAGAGAAGGGAGGGAGGGAGGAAAAGCTAGTCAAGAATACTAAAAATGAGCAAAAAGGGGACTCAAATCAGAAGTCCCTAGGCGGCTCGAGCCCCCTTTCTCTGTTCAGTCTCCTCATCTGTGAAAATAAAAGTCAGACTCCCATGCCTGGCATATCTCTTGGTTCTGATAGGTGATGCCCTCCTAGCATACGTACCAGGTCAGCTCCCACCATGTTCCTCAGACGGCTGGGACAGACATCAACCAAACGTGTTGCATAAACACTGAACAAAAGTGTGATGGAAGCACCTGAGGCTAGTAGGGTAGCTCGGGGGTTAGACTGTCCTCACTCAAGTGTGCAGATGTGGAAGGTTCTGTGCACACAGTAACTGGCTCTTTTTTCTCCTGGACTTCTTGTGTTAACAAAAGAGAGTTCACCTCGGAACTGCATTCTCTTTCCTGTGCCCCTCTCTCGGGGTAGACTACGTTGCCTTAGAAGGCCTCAGGCTGAGAAACACTTGGTTAAGCTACAATTAGCAAAATTACAAGGCTGAGGAAAAGTAAAAACAAAATGCTCTGGGAAAGGACTCAAGAACTTGAAATAGAAAGACATGGAATTATCTCTACCTGCAAAAAAGATAACTATTTCAGACAAAATATAGAGGTATTAGGGAGATGACACTCCTGAATACAGGGGGGCAGCAAGATGACTAGAACTTGGCCACAGCTTGCAACTCTTTAAGATGGATTCTGAGAAAAGGGAGCATGATGCCAAATTTGCACAGCAGCAGCTCCGGGCAAACCTGGGGATGTTTTTGTCATTAGGAAGACTAGAATGTTCTAGGCAGTGCTTCACAGTGTCTGCACTCTGGCAAGTGAAACCAGTGGTTTTGTCTTCTGCTCTGCAGCTTCAGATATCTCATCATATCATGGCCCCACTGACTCTGGGAGTTCTGACCCTTGCTAACTAACCGGCACACTGACTTGTTCATTAGTAAGGGAACACAGATCTGGGGGGTAACAGTACTGGCAAGAACTGTAATAATAGATAATGTTGGGCAGCCCGGGTGGCTCAGCGGTTTAGTGCCACCTCAGTCCAGGGTGTGATCGTGGGGACCCAGGATCGAGTCCCACATCGGGCTCCCTGCATGGAGCCTGCTTCTCCCTCTGCCTCTCTCTCATGAATAAATAAAATATATTTTTTTAATTTTTATTTATTTATGATAGTCACAGAGAGAGAGAGAGAGGGAGGCAGAGACACAGGCAGAGGGAGAAGCAGGCTCCATGCACCGGGAGCCCGATGTGGGATTCGATCCCGGGTCTCCAGGATCGCGCCCCGGGCCAAAGGCAGGCGCCAAACCACTGCGCCACCCAGGGATCCCTAAATAAAATATTTTTAAAAAATAATAGATAATGTTATTCAGATGTTGGCCGGGTGCTGTACCACATCTGTATATATAGCATTTCCATCACGCCATGTTACAGATGAGGTACAGGGACTCGCACGAGATCACACAGCCACTAACAGGGTCAGGATCAAACCCAGATCTGTTTTGACTCTACAGCCTGTGGTCTTTGCACAACCATGCCTATAACTCCAAATTATGATTGGAAAAGTCCCTGAATACAGAATCAAGAAAAGACATGAAAAATTTCTAGCCACTTTGGGGATACTTCTATCTAGATATTTGGGACCAGGCTTCCAAATTAGAGAGCTAGAGCCTCCATCCACTGCTATAGCTCACAACCCTCCACCTGCGTTTGCTACTCCATGGTGTAGCCTCAGTTTGTCCTCTTACATTTAGATAATTGGGTAGCCTGGTTAGGTTCTAGCCTGATGCATCTTTGTTGCCTTTATAAGGCATTCCAGACCAACTTCCCAAATTCTAGGACCCTAAATGGTTCCAAGCCCACCTCATACACTGGGTACCAGAATCTGAATCTAATAATGGATCAAAAAAAAACTACAAAAGAAGATAATCTATTTAGGGGGCAAAGGATCATAAGCAATAAAGTACCTCATAATAGGCCACTCCATCCCATTTGTAGGGAAAGGATTCTTAATATAGCAGGTGGTGATGCAGCGAAATGTTTGAAACTAGATCCAGGGTTTGTAAGAGATGCAGTTTAAGTATGAAAGACATCTTTACAAAGATCAGAGAGAAACAAAGGAAGGGAAAGAATTCTAAAACAAAATCTTATTTGGCAAACTAAACACATCCAAGAGGAAATCAGCACTTGTTCAAAGAAAAAGACCTTATGATAAACAATGTAAATTTATGTTTGCCCTCGATAAATTATGAACCAGAAACTTGGTGACAAAACAGCAATGATGAGCCGTCCTGATCCAGTGAGTTTAAGGGCCCTTACAGGATGAAGGGACAGAAAGCCAGGTATGGAAAATCATTTCTCAAAGTAGAAAATAAAAAACCCAGTTTGAAACTAGAATTTTATCTCCAGAACAGAGGTGGATGCTTATGCTAACAGCATTTGGGATTAGGCCAAAGAAATGCTAGACTATGTACTCTTTCAGGAGAAATTCCGTAACCGTGATTTTCTAGCTTATGATCACAAGACCCCTTTACAGGGCAGCCTGGGTGGCCCAGCGGTTTAGCGCCGCCTTCTGCCCAGGGCGTGATCCTGGAGACCCAGGATCGAGTCCCATGTTGGGCTCCCTGCATGGAGCCTGCTTCTCCCTCTGCCTGTGTCCCTGCCTCTCTCTCTCTCTCTCTCAACGTGTGTCTCTCATTAAAAAATAAAAATTTTTTAAAAATGAAAACAATTTAAAAACTGATTCATTTAAAAATTAACCCATTATATATCATTAAAAATATTTTTGTGAAAAATAAGCCTATTTACTAAAACAAAAATCTCTGGAATGTCTAGCTTAATGGAAGACAGCTGGACTCTCCCATCTACTTCTGCATTCCATCTGTTGCTTTGGATGAACTATGTGAAGAAAATCTTGGTTTCACACAGATACGTATATGGAAAAGGCAGAAGTATCTTAAAATAGCATTTTCAGGTAATTGTGGATATTCTTTGACAGGACACCAAAACTCAACAAGAGATAGGTTCTTAAAATTTAATTGTAACACAGAATCTAAAATCCTAATGAATTGTTACACTGTTATATTAAAACCACTGGACTATTTTGTACTTTGCATGGATCTTTATGCGTGATTTTGTAGTATCACGGATCGGTCATCTGGAAAATACTGGTTCACTGGACTATACAGATCTTCCAAAATGTTGAAACTTTTTGTCATAATTACGTCTCAAAAAGAAAAACATCTATGTTCATTAATAGCACTATCAGAAAAGAAAGTCTTCTGGTTGGGAAGCTGTCACGGTCCAGGGGCAGATACGAGGTTTCCAAGATTCCAAGGTTCACTTGAAAAGCCTATTTCATCACTGTCGATAAATACTATTAGTTGTTTTCTGAAAATGACAGGCTCACTTCATTTGAGAAAATGTCCACTGAGTACCCAGTTACGGGTAAGCAGACGCTGCTCTTTCGAATACTAAGGGCAGCCGGCGAGCAAGGGCCGGCTCCGTGGCCAGCACAGCCACGCAGGCGCCTCCCCGAAGGCGGCCACGGAGCTCCTGAACGCAGAGCGGGCACGTGCGTTCTCAGGGCAAGCGAGGGGGAGGACTGCTGACTACCTACATGGTCTGCTGTCACTGCCTTCATCTGTACTGAGGTGACAGCAGCTTTGCTCACAATTCATTTGTCAGATTAATGCAAATACTGACACAGTGAAAAGGGCAAATAACGTCTAAATATTCTTCTAAGAATAAGGGTGGCTTTATGGACCCCTGGAAGGGCTATCAGGGAGGAGTCCATGGACCATGCGTTGAGGACCATGGCCTAGAGTGACACCATGGCTTCTGGCTCATCTAATTTCTAGGCCGACAGGTAGCTCAATGAGGATCAACCTTCAATTTAAGTAAGTCCCTCAACATACGGTCCCTTTTAACCCACAAACCAGACAGATTCAACAAATTCCACTGTGACTTCAGCCCCCTGAAGCCAACACACTCGCCCACTTACCCCGGGCTGCGGTGGGCCGCGCTGTGCACAGTCCTGCCGTTGGCTTTTGCCTGCCGTGAGCGGGCTGGGACCCGGCCTGAGCTCCACGCAGGCCCCGTCAGGCACCTGGACGGTCACATACTGGGCCAGCTTCTGCACACAGCTGCAGCAGCGTTCCAGCGCCTGCTCCCTGGACACTCCACTGAACTGCACCCGGAACATGCGACTCTTGTTCTATTGGACAAATCCAAAGTTCTCCTCGGTAACCTTCGTCATGTGCTTTCAGTTACCGTGCAGTCTTCTAGGGAGTGCTTCCCTTTGCTCGCAGGGGAAGAAGAGGCATGGATAAAGGAGCAGTTACCCTGGATTGTTCATGTGGGCAGAGAAAAGCCAGTCTTTCTTTTCTTCCCCTTTGGGGGAGCTACTTCTACTATATTCATCTCCTTTAGGGAATTGACAGCAACAAAAACAGAAAAGCCCGTTCCAAAAAGACCAGGAAAGTCACCAGTGACTGCAGTAAAAGATCAATGTTTTGTCTTACTTCGGAATAAAGATTTCATAGCTTCTAATTCCTTAGGTGGAAAATCAGGGCTGGCTCAACAGAATTTCTCTAAAGCCAAGTATATAAAAGAGCAAACTGGGGAGATGGCACATGCAACAAACCAGTGAAGTTGACAGACAAGACAGGAGAACAGGCAACAGGCAGATGCTGAGCTGGGGAATTTCATACTAGTAATTGGTAGTGCTCTTTATCTGGGAAGAAGCCAGACTACCACACAAATCACACGTTGCCTCTAATTTGCTGTATGAGCTCCATCTCTTGGCAAATCAGCAAATGTGGGAGAGATGCAGTTAACATTGTTCAAGTTTGGCAACTACATCAAACTTATTTGATTGTAAGTTTAAAAACAGAACTACGATGTACCAGTAACAACAAAAATAAACCCATTATTTTAGTAGAAGTAGCTTCCTGTTTTGCTAGTCTGGTATTCTAACCGGGTCGGCACATTATCAGACACCCGGTTGTATGGTGTGCCTTTGTCCACTTTCTTCTTTAAAGAAATCAGGACACTGGGACACCTGGGGGGCTCAGCAGTGAAGCATCTGCCTTCAGCTCAGGAAGTGACCCTGGAGTCCCGGGATCAAGTCCCGCGTCGGGCTCCCTGCATGGAGCCTGCTTCTCCCTCTGCCTGTATCTCTGCCTGTGTCTCTGCCTCTCTCTCTGTGTCTCTCATGAATAAATAAAATCTTAAAAAGAAAAATCTGGATGCTAACTTAACACAGTGACTTTCCACTTACTAAATACATAAATCACTCTGCTAATGGGAGAATGTTTCCAGCCACGGCTAACAAAATCCTGTAAGCTCCCTCAGGCCAACGTCCCCTGGTTTGCCTGTTCCCAATTTATGCTATTTAAGTTTTTAGATAAAGCCATTAGGCAAAGCCACATATTTAGGTGTCAGTAAACTCTGGGCATGTCCAAGTGATGAGCAGGTATCATGTTTAGAAGAATAGACACTGCTCCCTCTTTGCTGCCACTGTTGGGTTCTCTTCATTTTGTAATTCATTTACTCTTTATCCTAAGTGTAAAATAACCCATTATCACCACCCCTATAACAATGAAAAATATGAAAAGGGAATATTCTAGTATGTACCTATCTTAGGACATATACACACACACATCCATTGTGTGTTATATATTACTGGATATGTTAGACTATACTACTGTTTGGTAACCTAACAAGAATAAAAATAAAAATATAGTTCATTGCTCTTCATGGCTGAAGAGGATTCCTTTATTAACCTGGCCCCCTGCTGACAAATATTTTAAGTTATTTACAGTCTTTTTCCCTATTATAAACCACAATATATTTGGCAAATTTGGCAGGCGTTCTCACACTATATATCTTTGTACATAAATCTGGCTGGTCCAAAGGTCTTGTGTATTTGGGTACCTAATGCCAAACTGCTCCAGGCCAGACAGTATCAGTTACTTCCATTGACAGTTTATCTGTCTGTACCCTCCAACACTGGAGATTCTTATTCTTTTAAACTTTTTTTAAGATTTCATTTATTTATTCATGAGAGACACAGAAACAAGAGAGGCAGAGACACAGGCAGAGGGAGAAGCAGGCTCCATGCAGGGAGCCCGATGTGGGACTGGATCCCACGTCCCCAGGATCACACCCTGGGCTGAAGGCGGAGCTAAACCGCTGAGGCACCAGGGCTGCCTTCTTTTAAACTTTTTTTACTCTACTAGGTGAACATAGATTTTTTATTGTACGAATTCATTTCTTTGATTACCAATAAGGTCAAATGTTTTTCTTCCACTTATTGGGCATCTTATATTTTTTCTTTCCTGTATCACCTATTCACTTCCTTAGCCATTTTTCTCTTGGAGGAATAATCCCCAAATTGTCAAGAGTAATTGAAAGCTGATTTTCCTCAAGGACGAGAAAAGAACTGATAAGAGAGACCTATACATTCCATTTCTGGTAATTCTATGTATCTCTTTTTTGTGTGTGATCAGTTGAGCTGTTTTCCTGTTTACAATTAATTAGCTGTTTCAAGCTTACCCTAGTTGAAACTCTATATGGAGACATCTCTGTTAGCTATTCCCATGCTGACTCTGTTATTATCCAACCTCTGATATGCAGTCACATTAAAAACTGTACCTTGGAGCTGGATGGAAAGCTGTACATTAGAAACAGACAATTAAGAGTATCAATGGCAAAGATCTCAGGCCACTCGTGTAAGTCTAGAGGTATCTATATGTGAGTATGCATAAGAAGGAGTCTGGACAGTTAGGGTTTCTTTAGAATGTAGTTCCAAGAATGACAGGGTATGCTGTATGCGTGCGTGATAGCCTAACTGAAGCCTTGCTGTGTGTTTGTTTCTGTAAAATTGAATTTGAACTTATTATCTGAAGCCAGAAATATCACCTCAGTGCATGTGGACCCAAGATAAAACTGAGGTACATCAGGAAAAAAAATGTGACAATGAGCTACATCGCCATCCCACATCCTCAATGCCATGGGGCACCACAATGGAAAAGCTGCCACTGGGTTCACAAGAAGGACTCCTAGGTTGAAAATCTTGATAAGATTTATGCTTATGCCTTATATAAAAGTGAGAAAGGGCTCCTTGTGGTGAAATGAGAAGTTTTCAAGTACATACCAATAGCCATGAACTGACCTAAATATACAGTCTATTATCTAAGGAGATTAGCTCAGAATTACTGTATTTTAAGTGATTGTTTACCTACTAGATTGTTCTCCCTTATTCCAGAACACTTAATTTCAAGTTATTACACAAGCAGAAAACCCCCTTCACACGGATGCCTTGAGGAAATAAAAATTAAGGGTGAGGGCTTGCCTCTTGACACTTATCTTCCTGTACTCACAAGAAAGTCAGGCTCTGCCTTCTGGAAACCTTCATGCCCAGTGAATTCTGACTCACAGGGATGAACAGCATCTCCCTTTGGAGATTCTTGAGCTGCAGGCTCTATGGCTGACAGTCTCAGCACACATGCAAGACTGGTTAGCACCACGTGGGAGGAGAGCCATGGAGATACAAGGCCTCACCAACCTGCTGGGGTTTCCTGCTCCGTTTAGATTCATTGCCCAGACCCGTATGAAGGTTCCCATCACCACTGGGACCCCAACTGAAGTAGTTTCCCCCACAACAGGTAAAGAATAGGAAGGGGAGTACAGAAAAAGGACTTAATGAGAGAAGGGGCTTCAACACTTTCTTCGTTTCTTTACTTTGAAACTAAGAGGACAGACTCCAAGCCTAGACTAGACAAAATCATGAAAACAGGTTTGAGTGAGTTATTGGGGGTAAAGAGGATGTTGTTTTTGTTCACTCCTTTAAACCAAAGTCCCTTCAGATAGGTAAGTAAATGTTGACTGTTAGCCGATCAGCCTGGACATTTTGATCAGAATTATTGAAAAAAAGGAAGCCCAATCTGCAAATAGGCACGACTTAAACAATCTGTTTATTTCATCCAGAGAGAAAATAAATATAATCTTTTAGTTACCCACAGATTTTAACTATATTAAATTGCTGTCGGGCAGCCCTGGTGGCTCAGCGGTTTAGCGTCGCCTTCGGCCCAGGGCGTGAGAGACCCCAGATCGAGCCCCATGTCGGGCTCCCTGCATGGAACCTGTTTCTCCCTCTGCCTGTGCTCTCTCTGGGTCTTTCGGGAGTAAATAAATAAAACCTTTTAAAAAAATAAATAAATAAATAAATAAATTGCTCTTAACAATAAAAACCTTATTTCAAAATACTTTTTCCATTTGTCAACTTAAACAATGGCGTTTGTTACATAATACTTGGTTAACTAAAAGCTACCCAAGGCAAGAAACACCAAAGATACCAAAGAATCTGTTGGTTCAACATTAATGTCAAGTCAATAGATCACAAAAAGGAAAAAAAAATGATCTTGATAAGAGGTCAAAAAGCTTTTGATAAATCAATTTAATATGTAATCCTGATAAAATATTAATAAATAAACTTTAACTGAAAGAATATCTCCCTTACATGGTAAAGAATATCCAATAAACAGCTAGAAATGTTTTAATATCTAAATACTACTTTGCATTCAAGTCAGCAAGAGGTCAAGGATGACGCTATAACCATAAAATTAGTGTTCTGAAAAGGTCTAGGTAATTCAGTAGGGTGAGAAAATAAGTCTAAACTACTGGAAATAAATAAAATTGTCACTGTACATTATAAAATCACTTTCCTAGAAAGTAAAAAATTAACAAATCAAGAGTTAATGAAAGTTCAGTAAGGAAGCCAAGTTTCAATTAATTCAGAAAAAGTCTAATAAGCAGCTAAAAATATCTTTGGGCTAAAGAATATCATTCACAGTAACACTGAGAAAAAGGTTCCTAACCTGTAATATTTATAAATATTTATATATAGGGATCCCTGGGTGGCGCAGTGGTTTGGTGCCTGCCTTTGGCCCAGGGCACGATCCTGGAGACCCGGGATCGAATCCCACGTCGGGCTCCCGGTGCATGGAGCCTGCTTCTCCCTCTGCCTATGTCTCTGCCTCTCTCTCTCTCTCTGTGTGACTATCATAAATAAATAAAAATTAAAAAAAATAAAAATAAAAATAAATAAATTATATCCCCCTAATGGGAAGCGTTTGGGTAAATGAGCATTCTTACACATCACTAGTGTTGAAGAAATAGGCAACCTATAGAGAGGACAGATATACAAAATAAATACACATACTTCCAGGACTCTCAAGAACCCTGTAAAAAAACCCTTACAAAAATGAAAACATTTTTTTAATAGTGAAAACTTGGGAATTAGTTAGCTGAATCATGGTACATCCAAACAAACATCCAAAATAAAATGCTATGTAGCCACGAAGAATCACATTTTCAAAGACTAAGAAATGACTCGGGATATGTTCCTGATGTAATGTTACGTGACAGGAGAGTAGGAGGATACAAAGCACTCTTTATACGACATCCCAAGTGTATAAATTATCTTTATGGTAGACACTGTTCATTGCCTTGAGCTGATACACACAAGAGGCTGGAAAAGCCAAACGCTAATTTTGCTAACGTTAGCAGATTGGGATTGGCCACATTACACTGTTCTGCTCCATGAGACATAAGAAGACATATTCTAGGGGTTGTAGAAGGTGGAAGAAAGCCTTATAGAAAAGTTTATGCTTTCCTCACGAAAGGACAGATGAAGCTGGTTTTCCTTGAACAGAAATTCAACAGAGCAACAGCAGCCATTCTGTAAATGTGAAGGAGAGGATGGGGGAATTGCAAAGATGTTGTCCTTGGCAGTATGAAATTGCTGAGCCAATACTAGCAACTGCCTGTTTCTGGTGAAAAAAAAAACAAACCCCTAATTTTGGGGGCCATTATGCCTGGACTTTCTGTCGCATGCATTTGAATGCTATCCTAACTGCTAGAGTATTTATGCCAAGTAACAACTTTAAAATGTTATAATGATTAATTTTTGAGTGGCCAAATTATGCTTGGTTTTTATTTTGCTCTTTACAGTTAAAAATTTTAATAGTAATATATATCAGGAAAAAATTAAAACTCAACTATCAGACATATGGCATGGTATAACCTTTAAAAGACATATATAGTGAGTGAGAGGTAAGGGGTGCTGACCTCCGTACAGTTGAAAGTCCAAGTATGACTTGTGACTCCCCCCAAAACTAAGCTACTAGTAATCTATTACTGACAGGAAGCTTTACCAGTAACACAGTCGATCAACACGCTTTGCATGTTACCTGTGTTATATGTATATGTATGTTATATGTATTCCTACAATGAAGTAAGCTATGGAGAATGTTAAGAAAATCATAAGGAAGAGCAAATACATGTACAGTACTGTACAGTATTTATCTAAAAAAATCTGTGGATAAGCAGACTTACAAGTTCAAACTGCTATTGTTCTGGCATGATACAGTCCAGGGCTCAAGTCAGAAGACCAGTGGGTGGCCCAGTTCTCTGACAGCTAGTTATACCCTGGACTAGTGGTGGAAGTCACAGTTCATTCCCTTGTGCATAAAACGAAAACAGAAACTCCTGAAAATGTGCAACGGGGTTTTTGAGTATCCCTTTGGCAGTCTGGCAAAGCCAGCAGATCACTTCTCAAAACAACCTTTTTAATCACATAAAATACATTAGATTATAAAGGAAGGAAACCAAGTATCCTGAAACAGTCTACCACAATATTACAACACTAATTTGTGAACTAACAACATATATGCTTTATTAACATATGCAATAAAGAGATCTAGCAGCAGGTCTAATCTGGCAGTGACACTGTCAGCATGGCTGACAGTGAAGCTATCTGAAACTGTGATGTGGTATGAAAGTAGCTGATTTCTATTGGTGCAAAGGCCTAATATGACTGTGTCTAAGGCCTAGGTTCATAATTGAAGGAAATGATAAATTTCAATTAGAAGTCAGTGAAAAGCCATGCAGTTCATTGTCCCCTGAATCCTTTAAGGACTCTTTGGAGGGTCTGTGGACCCCAGGCTAAGACCGCTCTATTAGATGCTCTCTATTAGATCCTCTTCCAACTCTCAGTCTATGAACCCACAAAAATTTGGCATCTTTCACCTAAATTTCAATGTTATCTACTCAGTAAATGTTAATAGGTTAGTTTTTTACAGTTATTTCTGAAAGAAAATAATCCAGGTGATTAGTCTGTATGTTTCTTTGATGAGGATCATTCTCTATGTTTAATGCAGCTAGAAAGCAAATAAAAGGGACAGTTTTTAATATTAAAGAGGGAAAATGAAAAGATATATTCAGTAAAGCATTCGGAAATAGTAAGACAAACACTGACCCCCCCCCCCCGCCCCTGCTCCCAGCGTGTGCCTGGGGATGGAGAATGGTTGAGCCACCCTGTCAGAGGGGCACTGACAGATCTATCAAAGCTCTGGCTCCTTACCCATGAGGCTTCTGCCTCTCGACACTCCTCCTTCCACGTTCTGCCTATAGTGCAAACCTTTCTTAAACATACGTAATCTTCCAGGTTCCATTTCACCTGCAAAGAAAAGCTCCCATACCTCCCTCTCCCCCTCCCAGTCTGCACTCCCCCCCGCCACTGTGCACACTTAGAAGATGAGAAGGGTATGAGCATTTGCTTAAAACAGTTGGCCTCTTGCCTTTATCGTTGTTCCAAACAATAGACAATCCATGCGTCTCACAATCTTCAACCAGTTCTTGTTACCAATGAGTGAAAAGCCTTCCTGAAACAACACAATTAAACACAATTAGCTACAGAAGCAAAAAGGGACATGAAGAATAGCTCTGGTGCAGCTGCCTCCTATTAATTAGAAAGTTGTGCATGTATTCTGAAATTAAGCACAGTAGAAATGATTCAACCTCACCCACTGCCAACGATGACCCTTCCAGTAAGTCCCCGTGTCCCAGGGCTCTTCCTGCCTGATCCACAGTAAGAGCCTCAGCTTTTATTGCTTGATATTTTCATCTTGAAAATAAAATATTAAAGATAGTAAATGTCCACAGTCATATTTGCTATAAAGTACATTTTTAGAGGGGTGTCTGGGTGGCTCAGTTGGTTAAGCGTCTGCCTTCAGCTCAGGTCATGATCCCAGGGTCCTGGGATCGAGCCCCACATTGAGCTCCCTGCTCAGTGGGGAGTCTGCTTCTCCCTCTGTCCGTCACCCCGTGAGCTTGTGCTCTCTCTCTCTCACTCTCTTGCTCTCTCTCTCTCAAATGAATAAAATCTCAAAAAAAATTTAAAAATGAATTTCTAGAATTTGCCAAAATATGAGCCTATATTCCTGAAAGCTAAGGGTTTCCAATACACTAATTTATTAAATTATCTGACACATCTCTCTATCTACAAAGCAAGAGTTCTCTTCATGAGAATCTTATTTTTAGATTTGATGAATGGGAAAATTGAAGCAACTTGTTTTTGGATACTGAATGTCTAGTTCTTCACTTCAATCTGATAAACAAAACAGGCAAAGAGGGCAGTAGAGGGCACACTAGTCTCAAAAGAGAGACAGCAGCTAGATCCTAATGGCAGAAAGATGAACTTTTTCTGCAGCTTATTAATAATACAGTAAATAGAATTGACTGTTTAGGCATTGCGTTCCCTCCTCAGCTCCGATTATGTTGTCAGTGGATTTCCCCAGTTAAGAAGCCCAGTAGTGAGACCGTTCTTGGCATTCAGTAAAGCTGATCCTGGGAACTGAAAGAATGATGGTGTGCAAATCCTGCCTGCACACCGCCTGCCTGCCTTGTACTGTTCATGTACCACAGCGAGGGAAGGCTGCTCAAGGGATCCGAGGAGATATCAGAGAAAACTCCAACTCTGGGAAAACAGAAGAAAAGGTCATCCCTTACAAGTGTGAACCCTCACAGCGTCTCTCTTCCCAAATCTATACATAGAGAAACCACAACTTCCAGACAAATTTAGAGCCTGGAAAAACTGGATGTTAATTCCTTAGCGTTTTCATTTAAAAAAGAAAAAAGAAAGTCACTTCTAAAATGTGGATTCTAAGAGTTTCATCAGTAGTGGTAGGGTTTCTTTTATTTTTAATGAAAAATAAGTTAGGCAAACCATCTGTGATTTCTTCTTAAAACTCTCTGAATTAGCAAAAAAGAAATGTGTTAACTATTAGATCCCAAACATGCAGACACTGTAGTATGAAATGGCAGTATGCGAGGACCCTGAAACTCATACCAAGTACAAACTGGTACAACTGTTTTTTTCTTTTCTTTCCTTTTTGAGTAGGCTCTATGCCCAGTGTGGAGCCCAGTATGGGGCTTGAATCCAGTGCGGGGCTTGAACTCACAACACTGACATCAAGACCTGAGCAGAGGTCAAGAATGGGACACTTAACTGACTGAACCACCCAGGTGCCCCCAAACTGCTACAACTTCTACAGAGGGTAATTTGGCAGTATCAGAATTACAAATGCAATACTTTTTAACCCGGCAACTCCATCCTGGGAATTCATTTCACAGATCAGCCTGCACACATGTGAAGTGATGCATAGACAAGGTTAAGCATTTCTGCATTCTTAACAGTAAAAGACTGGAAACAATTCAAGCACACATCAACAGTGGACTAGTGAAATAAAATATGGTACTCTTTACAACAGTGTACAACTGTAAAAAATAGTAAATGCTGTTCAGTAGAAATATAATTTGAGCCACATATATAATTTTTAATTTTCTAATAGCCACATTTTAAAAACAAAAAGAAGTTGGTAAAATTTTAGTATTTTATTTAATTTATATGTAAAAAGACATCATTATTTTAACATGTAAACACTGTATAACATTAAGGTAGTGTAAAAAAAGAGAATGTAAACTAAGTCTCTGAACCCTAATGTGTTTTACACTTATACCACATCTCAATTTGGACACTGTATTTTTGATGGTTAAAGTGAATAACCAAAACAATAACAATAACTAAAACAAATACCAAAACAATAACGTCTAATGGGAACGTTACTGCTAGCATTTTACACTGCTACCATTTTAAAATCTACATTTAAATTAAATTTAAAGTTCTCGGTTTTAGTCTGCCAGCCACATTTCGAGTGCTCAGTAGCCAGCCCGTTGCTATCTTCTCAGTGTGGTTCTGTACGAATTGATCTCTATGGTGTATTGTTCAGCAAAAAGCAAGCTACAGAACAGTGTCCGTAATATACTACTTTCTGCATAAGGGAGGACACATGCAATGTATATTCTTATTATTTGTTTATATTTACATTAAAAAGAAACTAGAAGGATTAGTACACATGAGACTAATAAAAATAGCTATCTGTAGGGAGTGGGAGTGAACAGTGCAGATGTGGGTAGGAGATGGAGTAAGATTTTTTGTTGTCCTCCACAAACACTGCTGCTCCCACATGGTGCCGCCTCGGTGAATGGCGTCACATACACCTGACACCCAAGAGATCACGGGCCATCATGCTCGACTCCTTTCCTCACTCCTTCAACACTAAGAAATCTTCAGCCTTGGAGATCCCACCCCCAAACGGCTTCTCCACCTAACCATTCTCCCCATGTACACTGCCACTGCTGCATCAGGCCCCCGCTGGCTGTCCCCAGGATTACCGCACTATCCTTGGAACTGATTCCCCTTCCCCCAGGCCCAATTTTTCCATCTATCTGAGCTACCACCCAAGCAGTCTTTGTAAAACACAAATCAGATGAAGTCACTCCCTTTTGATGCCACCATCTCATCATCCTCTCCCTCACCCCCCCACAAGAAACACCTGCGGGATAGAGTTCAGATTCCTTGATGCATATAAATTTCTAACATTTGGCCTCTCTGCCTTTCATGCATGATTATTTCCTTCGACTCTCATATAAATGCTGTATTAGAGGCATATAAAACTCCCTGCAGTTCTGCAAATGTGCCAAGCTCCTCACACCTGGATCTTGTCGTACAGCTCATTCCTGAAATGGCTTCCTTTTTCACTGACTTTTGAAAACCCAGCTTTATTTCAACCATTCACTTCAAGACAAAGTTGGCTGACCTCTCGGAATTCTGTGCTCTCACAGGATCTTTTACTTATCTTATAACTGGCAACATTTCATAGAGTGAAGACAAATCCCTGGGCAGGCAAACAGGTTCTAGAATGTGTCTTACTACTCCTTGAAACCCCAGCAACTAGCACAATGTTTAGCAATTGCTAATGGATCTGCCCCAGCAGCCACTCCATTTAGGACTCTGTGCAGTGGCCACGTGGGGAAAGGTGTGGTCTCCTCCCTGAGGGCATCTCTCGCTCTCTCTTTTTTAATTTGACAGAGAGAGAACAAGCAAGCACAAGCAGCAGGACTAGCCGAGGCAGAGGCAGAGGGAGAGGGAGAAGAAGACTCCCCTCTGAGCAAGGAGCCCCATGTAGGGCTCTATCTCAGGACCCTGGGATCATGACCTGAGCCAAAGTCAGATGCTTCACTGCTTCACCTTCACCCACAGAGCCACCCATATGCCCCCCGGCAGCATCTCTTATTTGAGCCATGTTAGGGCTTCTATTCATTAATTTGTCTAAACCATTTGCCTTAGAATTTGTATATCTCTTCTCTCTGCCTCTTTCCTGGACGTTTTGCCTAATTAACTTCTAATCATTGTTCACTTTATCCCTAATCTCACTTGGGTCACCAATTAGACTTCCCCACAGTGCTCAAAACATCTATCACAGTTGGTGTGTCTGCAGGGCTTATGTGCTTTACATCTGGCTTTCCCCTCGATAACAAGGCGCAGCAGGCAGGGGCTGTGTGTGTGTGTGTATACACACAATATAATCTCACCTATTATAGTGTTTGACACTAGAAGATGCTTCAGTAAGTTTTCAATAAATGAAAGAATGAAGTTCTTTACTAAAATTAACATTTCATGGCAGTACTTCTTGGGAACAGTGAGGTTCATACATTTATTACCTGGCCAATGATGCAGAACATCTTACTTTTATTTGACTCATACCAATCTTGTTGAAGATTCAGAAAGCTTTATCATCCTAATGTTTTGGGATTTAGTAAAGAAGTGTACCTAACCACTTGCCATTAATATATTCCTAGATTTTAATAATTCATCTCTCTGTCTCTGAAAATCCACCTCTTTGAATCTCCTTTAAGGCCTATCCATCTGGTGAATTCTGTTTAGCTCAATTGCTGGCTCCTCTATGCAGAGTCTCCTGACTTCATACCAGTCACTACTAAAAATTCACTTACCATCCCTGAGCTCCTACTATGGCTGAGCACTGCTACAGGTTAAAAAAAAGTCACAAAAGATGCCCAACCGAATCCCCTGGGAGCTCGCCCCCCTCGTGCTCAGGATATGGTTTTCTCACCCAGCCAAAAACCACTGATGAGAGTCTGACATATCCCTTCACAGTGCTGGGCTGGAAAATGGTTAGGAATTAACAGTACAGGGTAGGAAAGGAAAGAGAGAGGAATGTTCTGGAAAATGCCAAATTTACCATCAGACTAAAGAATAAGAGCCAAGAAGCCATGTCTCAGAAAGAGGTACGTGAAAGTTACAGGGAGCAAGACTGTCATGTGAATAGTCGAGGGTCTCAGGTGATGTACAGGGACGGAGTGACAGTAAGACTTATGAAGTGCACAGAATTCAGCAGGTGCGAGGTGCTATCATGTCTGTGTCCACATCTGTCATTCTACCTCAATCTCCTCCTGGATCCCACTTTATTTTTATTTTTTAAAGATTTTACTTATTTATTCATGAGAGAGAAAGGCAGAGACA